GTTACTGCATCCGACGTATTTTCAACAGCATCTACCATAACAGAAGCCTGCATCTGGTGTCTTCTCAGTTCTTGAGCTTTTCTTCGGCTGCTTTCAAGTATAATCATAAGAGCAGTGATGTCTGCTGGACTAACCCTACCCACTCTGCTTGCTTGACCAATAGTCTGCGGCCTGACCTATTGGGATTGAAAATAAATTTCAATTACAATTGAACAAGTCTAATCTGAGGAGAATCAATCTTCACAAACTTTTTAACATTTTATCCAGGAAAATTCCCTCTACTGCGAACTTCTAAAAGTTGTGTATTCAATGCAGTCCGACAAAACCGGAAAAGAAATATCACATATTACTGTGAAATATTTCGAAGCGCACCACAAACGCACAGACAATCACACATTAATCTTTTCCAAGTCACATTTCATTTGATGCTTTTCTATTGACTATTGATCCCCCCCACCCCCACACGGGCCGATTATGTTTAAAAGAAGAATCGGTGACTTTGGCCTTTGTCACTTTGAGTAGGTTAACTAAAAGTCTAAAAAGACCAAACTATTATCAGGACATGATAATGTTTTCTCCTAGCATTCATTTACAATTTAAGAATTCACTGCTAATAAAGGGAGAAATGGCATTGAAAAAGATCACATATATTTATATTCAAAGCTGTATTTCATTTTGTAGTTCCTGATACTTCAATTTTCCTATGAAGACATACTTACATGAGAATTTCTTAGTTTATTTGAACCAATAGAACACATTGCAAGATACATGCCTTAGGTTTAAATCAACATTCAGGGTATTCCATCATCATTCTTTTTTGAAGCATACAGTACCCACAGAACTTATTAGTTACCAATTACTACACGTTCTCCATTGCTCCTAGATTGATGATAAAATAGAATGATTTAGATTAAAATAAATCCACAGTATTCAATTATTTATATCATTCTAATCGAATGATTCTTTTGTGTTCCTGTTTTTTCCTCAATAAGTTTCATTTTAGCAGGATTGTTCCAAATTTAGCTATTAGTAAAGTCTTATCACGTGAAAACAACAAAGTTCGCATTCTTCAGGTACGAGTAAGATTTATTTATGAAACGTTTTTCACTTTTAGGGTGCCATGGTAAATGCTTTTAGATTCTATTGCTTTTAGTGGATGAATGGTTATTGTTTTTTCCTTATCTCGTCTTATATGAATTTTTCATATAGATAATGCAATCCAATTCATCTTTTGAGAACTCTGTAATCATCTCACTATTGGAAGGAAGATGGAGCAAGACTGGAAGTGTGGGAAGAGAAAAAGAGAAGTAAAAGAGATTCCATGAAATGTCTCTAACGTTTGATTAAAAAATTACATTGGCTTCTATTGAAATTTTAACTCTCAAAGTACAAGAGATGCCAATGTAATTTTTTAATCAAACGTTATAGACATTTTTTGTCATTATACCTTCTACAGTTGAATAGATCTTTGTATTGCTACATATAAGCTAATACTTCTGAATTTGTTGGATATAGACTTTATATTAAAATGACTATGTGAGTTTGATTTTATATTTTACTTATAGGAGGGTGTAAGTGTTGCGGAATACGACTATTGGATAGAGCAAAATCGCAATTGATAATTTGAGAAAATAAAAATGAAGATAAAGAAGACACAAATTTTACGTGGAAAACCCCCAAATAATATAGGGTAAAAACCACAGGCAAAGATAGAAGAATTTCACTATAAGAAAATAGGAATTACAACTTCTCTCGATCTAACAAGGGGAAAACAATAACAATTCTCTCTTGATAAAAAGGAGAAAACAACTCTCAAGAAAACTCTCTAAATTCTCTAGTATTGGGAGAAAGCTAGAATGATATGAGATGGTTTTGAAGCTAAATGAGTTAGAGTATTTATAGTTGAACCTTAAGGTCTAATCTTGTAAATATCCTAAAGTATAAGGACTAAATTAGTAATTTTCCCGTGCCAATTTTCCAAAAAAACATGCTGCCTAATTTTTAACTTTGACTATGCTCCATTTCGGTGGCCAAATTGGACCAGCCGAATTCACTTAGCAGCCACCATGATATTTGACTTTCAACAATCTCCCACTTGAATATTTGATTGGAACAATCATATCTTCACACCATTCTTTCTACCTTGTACCATCATATTGCTTACGTCTCTGACACGCCACAAGAGGATCGACACCGAGTAAATGTATCAGCGTTTACCACCTTCGTCATGAAATCTGCTTTGTTGTCTTTGGTATGGATTTTCTACATATCTATTATCCCTTCTTCCACATTTTCACAATTGAAATGATACTGAACTCATATGTGTTTTGTCCTTGAATGAAATATTGGATTCCTTGCTAGATGCAAGGCGCTTTGACTGTCACAAAACAAAGAGACATACTCTTGATTGTGCCCAAGCTCCTCCAATAACATCTTCAACCAGATTGTTTCTTTACTAGCTTGTGTAGCTGCTACATATTCTGCCTCTGTTGTGTAAGTAGCCACAATTGACTGCAATTTTGAAACCCAACTTATAGCTCCACCAGCAACTTTGAACACATATCTTGTAGTAGATTTGCTTTTATCCAAATCTCCTGCATAGTCAGAATCAACATACCCATTGATAAGTAAATTTGATCCTCCGTAACATAATACAACATTTGAGGTCCATTTGATGTATCTCAGGATCCTCTTTACTATATTCCAATGCTCTTTGCCTAGATTCGCCATGTTCCTACTAACCACTCCCACTGCTTGTACAATGTCTGGTCTTGTGCATATCATAGCGAACATTAAACTTCCCACTGTCGATGCATACGACACTCCAAACATCTCCATCCTCTATTCTTCACTACTAGGACTCATACTGGAGGATAATTTGGCTTACAATCTTGCATGTTGAATCATGACAAGATCTTCTTCAAATAATTCTTTTGTGAAAGCTAAATATTTCTATTATTTCTGTCTCGATGAATTTGCATCCCTAGAATCTTGTTTGCTGATCCCAAGTCCTTCATTTCAAATTCCCTAGCCAGTTATGCCTTCAATTCTTTATTATGATCATTGTTGAGTCCTGTAGCCAATATGTCATCCACATACAACAATAATATAACAAAATCGTTATCACCAAACCTCTTGAAATAAGCACAAGGGTCTGCATTAAGTCTGTTGTATCCAAGGTGAATAATGAAGGAATCAAATCTCTTATACCAACACCTCGGCGCCTGCTTTAGACCGTAAAGAGATTTGTTTAACCTGCAAACCAAGTTCTTCTTCTTTTTTCTTCAAAACCTTTAGGTTGGAGCATATAAATCTCTTCTTCAATATCTCCATGAAGAAAAGCTATTTTAACATCTAATTGCTCTAGATGTAAGTTCAATGTAGCATACATTGCCAAGACTACTCGAACTGCTATTAGTCGAACCATAGGAGAAAATATTTCATTAAAATCAATACCTTCTTTTTTAGCATATCCTTTTACCATCAGTCTTGCATGAGACCTCTCAACTTGATCGTTACCATTTCGCTTGATTTCAAAGAATCATTTGTTACCAATTGGCCTTTCCTTGTGGTAGTGGTACAAGGTCTCATATATTATTTTTATGAAAGGCTTCATTTTTTTCTTGCATCGCCATCATCCACAGTGAAGCATCTGAGTTGTTTATTGCCTCCTTGAATGTTGATGGTTCATCGTCATCTGTTAAAAGGAAGTATGCAATATTTCCTTCTATAACATAATCTGAGTACCAATTGAGACATCTTTTCACATGATCTGATTGACGAGTTGTTGGAGCTTCAGAACTCTCTGGTTCTTGTTCATCATGTTCTGGTTCTGCTTAAGAAGAATCTCCTTGTTCAAACTCATTTTCCACATGTATCTGTGTAGTCTCTGACTTTTCAGTGCTATCATCTTCTTCTTTTCTTTATAGTTTATCTTCTACAAAGATAAAATCCCTGCTGATGATCACTTTGCGGGCAGTGGGATCCTACAAGTGATAACCCTTTACTCCATCAATACAGTTTTGGTGAGATGATCCCATAACATTCTAGTTGTCTTCTTCTCCTCGATGCTTGATAATACTTCATCTACTAATGCTAGATGAAAGTTTGTCATAGTATTCCCATCCATTTCGATCCATTTGTTGTCATCCGTGAAATTTATCTACCGGCTTTTCATTGATAGCTTGCTAGACAATCGTCTTTCCTCAAAATGTCATTCATCTTCAATTTCCACAATGAGAAATTTCTCTCATTGAACTTTTCAATATCAAATTTCGTTGTCATAGCTTCTATTACGGATAGCTCCCACTATTTAACTATCGTGAATAGTTCTCTGGAACCTTCAAAGAATGGATAATACCTTCTTACTTTCCTATGTTGGAGGATCCACCTTTTGGTGGCAACCACAAAGACAATAAGTAGATATTACACACTCTAATCTGGCTCTGATTTCAATTGTTGCGGAATACGACTATTGAATAGAGCAAAATCGTAACTGATAATTTGAGAAAATAAAATGAAGATAAATAAGTCACAAATTTTACGTGAAAAACTCTTAAATAATATAGGGTAAAATCACGGACAAAGATAGAAGAATTTCACTACGAGAAAATAGGAATTACAACTTCTTTCAATCTAACAAGGAGAAAACAATAATAATTCTCTATTGATAAAAAGGAGAAAATAACTCTCAAGAAAACTCTCTAAATTCTCTAGTATTGGGAGAAAGCTGGGATGATATGAGATAGTTTTGAAACTAAATGGGTTAGGGTATTTGTAGTTGAAGCTTAAGGACTAATATTATAAATACCCTAAAGTATAAGGACTAAATTAATAATTTTTCCTTGCCAATTTTCCACAAAAACATGTTGCCTAATTTTTGACTTTGACCATGCGCCATTTAGGTGGCCAAATTGGACCAGCCGAATTCACTCAGCAGCCACCGTGATATTTGACTTTCAATAGTAAGTGTAAAGCAGTTTTTGCTCTATCCCTTTTAATTTTTATCAAAAAAAATCATCTTTTGAAGGTTGAAAGTAGCTCTGGAGCTGGTCTTAATGAAATGTCAAACACAATTATGCAAAAATTCTGGGACTTTGCCCTTACTTTAGAGCCGTCAGGTGATTATGACACACAAAGGTATTACTAATCCTACTGGCTACCTCACTTACAGTCCTAACCTTTTATACTGTGGAAGTAACCATGGTGAATGTTGATTTCAGTGAAATGTCTGCACTCATGGCATCACCCCATCATTCCCTTATCCCTGGGAACTCATTCTCTTTCAAATTTGAGGATCGTAAGGGTTTTCTACATCGGTTCAGTTGTGGTACGTACCAAGGTCAAGCTACTTGCCACAGTAATTTACCTAAATTTATTTAGATGCAACTCATTTCATACCTAGAACTAAGCAAGAATGAACTGATACGTCGACTTTTGTTTCGGAAAGAATGAAATATTTTATAGGGTAGGGATGGAATACCATGGAAGCACGCTTGCAGGCTTTATGTTGTATGCATGCAAATTAGCATACTCATATTTTGTTCTTCAGGTACTGAGAATTTAAATGAGCTTTTATCAGCTGTGGTGCAAAGAAATGCTTCTTGTAATGATCATAGACGTCCTCAGCTTTTGGTAAGTCGTGTTCTTGTTTATTTTTTACCTACTTCCTATGGTTTTCTAATTTTTCTTCATTGATTCTTTTCGGTTAATATAGTATAAAGACGACGAAGGTGATAAGATTTTACTCGCAACTGACAGCGATCTTATTGCTGCTGTTAAAAGTGCTAGATTACAAGGAAAGAAGGTACATTGTTTGTATTGGACTGGTGTGGTACTCTCTTTTCATTATGTTGTTTCGGCACATACATTCTAAATTTATGAGGGTAAGCTATACATTTAGTATCTAGACTATTACTTTTGTTCCATTTTGGTATTTAAATTTTATTATTTTTTAAAACTATACCTAATGTTTAGTTTAGGTTTCATTTTGGTGCCTAATCATTAAAATTTTAGCAGAATTACTGACGTGACACTATAAGGTAATACCACATCAGCAATTTCGTTACATTTTTAACGACAGGGTATCAAAATGAAACCTAAATTCAAAGTTAGGTATGACTTTAAAAAATAATAAAGTTTGGGTAAAACAGAACAAAAATAACAGTTTTGGTACAAAACATGTAGTTTGCCAAATTTATAATTGGCATAATGCCAAAAGTAACCCCCATCAAAATATCATTTTGGCACCTATTCTTTTTTTGGAACATTTTAACCCAACGTCTCATCGTAGAATAAAAAAGTCCCTAACGTTTGACTATATACTCATTTTGATCTTATTCTTTTATTCTAGGGAATTTTTGCCCTAAATGTTTTATTGTAGGGTGAAAAGGACCTTATTTTGGAACATTAACCGTTTGTTAACCAATGGTTTCTATCCATTGAGGGGTCTTTTTGCCTCAAAATGAAACGTTGGGCCAACATGTTCAAATAAAAAATAGGAGACGAAATGACTATTTTGATAAACATTGGAGACTATTTTCGATATCATGTCTTTATGACTCCTCTCTTCCTTTGGAACAGGTGTTAAGATTGCATTTGGATTTCTCCAAGTGCGATCAAGAATTAGCAAGTGTAAGTGGCAAGAAAAGTGGAGGGGTACCTCTTCACTTTGGTTTATTGGCAGGTGCAGTTGTCCTCACTAGCATCGACGTGCTTGTCTACATAAAGCGCTCAAAATTGTTACAAAGATAATGCTAATTCATGTGTGATATAATCGATTAATTAGACCATGAAATGAGTTTGTTTTTGAGAAGATAGAGGTGAGAAATGGGTAGTAGGTGTGATACTTGAACTACTATTTTAAACATCTTTGTATAGTTTTTTTTAACATTCATTGAGTGACACAATGAAACACTGCCATGTACATGTTTGTTATGTTATGTAGTTATTTATGACTTTGACTGTTTTCGTTTAGTTCGATTCAAATAAATTTATGGTGCAACCAGTTTGATAAAAAAATGGTTATATGTACAATTTTATTTAGGGTTACTGTGTCAATATAAATATATGGGGTTTTAGGATTTGATTATAATTATAATTTATAATTTATAATTGATTATAGACATAATAAAGAAAACAATTTACAAACATTTTTTTTTCTTTTTTTACAATTTATTTTTTTTCCAATATTTGTTATTAGATGTCTAATTCTTAATGTTCTCCCCATACCACTAAAATCCAAAAAATGGACATAGTGAATAGAATATAATATAAAACATGCATGGAGATGAATATATAGGAATCCAAAGGGTATAAGAGGTGAAAAGAAAGCATGATCCAGCAAAGAGCAAAACAAGGAGGTTCCACGCCAGGAACAGTCGCTCTCAAACATTAAAAAGAGGAAACACCATAAAGGAATGAACAGAAAGACAACGACCTAATTTGTGAAGCCCCACTTCATTTCTCTTCATCTTGTAGGTATAAAGTACTAAGAACCAGCACAAGTGCTCAGCAATTATAAGTACAGCTTAGAAGCAGCAGTTGGTTACAAATTATGTTGGAATGAGATATAAAAGATGGCGGAGGAGAAGAAGCGGGGAAAGGTGAAGAAGGGATGGCTTGCGGTTCATGCAGGAACCTGAGGAGGAGGACGGAGGGCTTGGCCGGTTTGTGATTCCCATATCATACCTTTACCATCCACTCTTCAAGCGGTTGTTGGAGAAGGCTCATGAGCCATATGGCTACCACACACCTTAAGTGGAGGATAAAGGAGGAGTCTGTTAAGTATAGCTGAGGTTCGGGTAGTTAAGTTCTTGATAGTTAGTTAGCTGCTGTGGCAGTTAGTTTGTTGCTTGAGGCTTTTTAGTATAGTTACAGTAGTTAGTTTTACTTCTTGATGTTGTAAGCTGTATATAACAACAAGTGATCAGCTTGTATTGGTACTGTTGTACTTACTTTGTTATTCACAAAATAGTTGATTTCTCAACATGGTATCAATCGCCAAAGATTCTAGTGACCTTTCTTGTGCTTTTGCTGCTTGATCATGTCATTTGGTGAAGCTCTTTCATCCTCCAGCAACGTCAAGATGTTTACAAACAAAAAGATCAATGTGGTGCTTGATGAGATGAACTTTTTGTTATGGAAACAGTAAGTGCTACTTACTGTGCGTAGTCATCGTCTTGAAAGATTGATTACTGGTGCATTAAAACCTCCATCTGAGTTGATTGCTTATGAGAATGGGACGATGATTCTGAATGAAGATTATGAAGCTTTTGTGGCACAAGACAGTGCCTTGGCTTCCTGGTTGCTGTCCACTATTAGCAATCATCTTCTGCCTCAATTTGTTGGATCTGTGACTGCCTCTGCAGTGTGGAGCACTGTATTGTAATTATTTGCTACCAGATCATCGACAACTGTTATGAACCTACATTGCAAGTTGCAGTATCTCAAGAAAGGTAAGGATAATATGCGGGTGTATTTGGCTCGTGTTAAAGAAACGTGTGATGCCTTGGCATCTTGTGGCATTACCGTTTCCACGGTTGGTCAGATAGCAAGCATTTTAAAAGGGTTACCTCGAGAGTATCAACCTTTCATGGTAGTGATTACTACCAATGGGGAGTCTTGATCCCTGGAAAAAGTTTGCACAATCTTAATTGATGCTGAAATGCAGTTAGCAGGATTTACTGCTCAAGAAGAAGTAATCTTGGCAAATGCAAATGTTGCTCGAGGGTTTGAACCAAACAAGGATGGTTCACACCAAGGAGGTTTTACTGCGTGGACGAGTTGAGGGTGGTCTGTATGTTTTCTCTAGAGGTTCAGTTTCGAGTGCTGAAACAAGTGATATTGTTAATTCAGTTGTTGCTGCAAATAGCTTTAGTCTTTGGCATCGTCGGTTAGGATATGCAACATTTAACACAGTTATAAATGCTTGTAAAACAATTGATGTAATGCTTTCAAAGGATACAAATAACATGTGTGAAGCATGTTGTATTGGTAAAAGTCATAAGTTACCTTTTGTTGACTCTACTACTGTCTATAATGAACCATTTCAGCTTGTGTTCACTGATATTTGGGGACATGCTCATGTAAAATCCAATGGCTTTCGTTATTATCTATCATTTATGGACGTATACTCGAGGCACACATGGGTATATTTTCTAACAGATGGATTTCAAGATGTGGTTGTGTTTAAGCAATTTCAGAAAATGGTGATGAACCAATTTGGTGTGCCTATTAAAGCCATACAAAGCGATTGGGGTGGTGAGTACAGGAGTCTGTCTACTGTTTTAGCTAAGGATGGCATCATTCATCGAGTAGTTTGCCCCCACACCTCTGAACAGAATGGGGGTAGTAGAGAGGAAACATAGGCATATTGTGGAATTGACTTTAGTGCTATTAGCTCAAGCTGCAATGCCCCTACGTTTATGGTATTATGCTGCAGTCATTGCTGTTTACATCATCAATCGACTTCCAACAAAAGTTTTAGATGGTATGTCTCCTACTGAGAAGCTATGGGGAAGGAAACCTGAGTATGAATCGATGAGGGTATTCTGCTGTAAGTGTTATCCACATTTAAGAGTGTTCCAGAGGCATAAGCTTGAATTCAGGTCACAATCATGCACTTTCTTAGGGTACAGTCCACAACATAAGGGATATGTGTGTCTTGCTACAGATGGGAGGATTTATATATCAAGACATGTAGTCTTTGATGAGGCAATATTTCTATTTATGAATTCTGGTTCTTCTTCTGTTTCACCTACTGTTCCAAGCTTTAAATCAAGTTCTCTTAAGCTTGTTACAGATGTTAGCAAATTTCAGACTAATGGTGCTATTATGGGGGCTGAGCCAATAACTACCAGTTTGAGCGTAAATTCAGAGAATGTACATGTGACAGAAGTAGTTGAGGATGAGGTTTCGAGTACAAATGTTAGAAGTAATCAGTCTAATGCACTCGATGTTCAACGTGATGATAATGATCAGCAAGTTAATGAAGACTTGGGTGTTCATGTTAGCATGGATTCAGAAGCAGGAAATGATGCTGAAACCATAGTAAATTGTCACCCTATGCTCATAAGAAGCAAGTGTGGTGTGTTCAAGCCTAAAGTCTATTCTGTCACTTCTGGCACGATGGAGCCTGTCAATGTTCATGAGGCTTTGCAGTCACCACATTGGAAAAATGTTATGTTTGTTGAAATTGAAGCGTTACAGGCGAATGGTATGTGGTCACTTATCTCACTACCTGAAGGAATATCAGTAGTGGGATGCAAGTGGTTGTTCAAAGTGAAAAAAAAATCCAGATGGATCTGTCAGCCGGTATAAAGCACGGCTTGTTGCACGAGGGTACTCTCAGGTTCCAGGGGTTGATTTTAATGAAACGTTTAGTCCAGTAGTAAAGTTTTCTACAATTAATGTGATGCTATCATTGGCTGTAACAAGGGGTTGGCAATTACGTCAGATTGATGTCAATAACGCCTTCTTGCATGGAGATTTGCATGAAGATGTCTTGATGCAGCAGCCACCCGAATTCGAGAAGAGGGCTTCTGATGGTACTGTGTTGGTGTGTAAACTTCAGAAGGCTCTATATGGCCTGAAACAGGCGTCGTGTTGCTGGCATGCTAAACTAAAACACTGCCTACTGCAAATAGGTTTTAAAGAATCCAAGGCAGACGCGTCCTTGTTTATACGCTGCATTCAAGGCAAATATGTGTATATGTTGGTATATGTTGATGACATAGTGATTACAGATGAATCAAATACTCAGATTGAAGAAGTGGTGAAGTTGTTAGGTGCTGAATTTGCTCTAAAGGATCTTGGAGAGCTCAATTACTTTCTTGGAATTGAGGTTAAAAGATGTGGAGAATCATTAATCCTTAGTCAACGCAAGTTTCTGTTGGAATTACTGATGAAGACTAAGATGCATAATGCAGGAGTTGTGTCCACCCCCATTCTGGTAACATCGAAGCTTGTGCAGGGTGATGGTGAACTGCTGTCAGATGCATATGAGTATCGTAGTATTGTAGGTGCTTTACTTTATGCCTGTCACACGCGTCCGGACATTTCCTTTAGTGTTAATAAGGTTGCTCAATACATGGATGCACCTAGACAAGAGCACTTTGTAGCTGTTAAGCGAATACTATGATATTTGGTAGGAACACTCAATCACGGTTTGGTTATAGCACCAGCAGTGGCAGGTGTGCATGTTGTAGCCTTTGTTGATGCCAACTGGGGTAGTAATACTGATGATCGAAAATCAATCATAGGGAATTGCATCTTTGTTAGTGATAACCTGGTTATGTGGACTTCGAAGAAACAAAAGTCAGTTTCTCGATCCACCATGGAAGCAGAGTACAGAAGTGTTGCTGATGCAACTGCTGAAATAACATGGGTGAGTGAACTGCTTGCAGAAATAGGAGTTCAGCAGATGAAGATCCCTGTGGTGTGGTGTGACAACAATAGCACAGTTGTCATAGCTGCAAATCCAGTATATCACGCTAAAACGAAGCATGTAGAGTTGGATGTCCACTTTGTTCGAGAGAAAGTTGCAGCCAAGTAGGTTCTGGTGAACTGTGTGCCTGCTAGCCATCAAGTAGCTGATGGTTTGACTAAGCCTTTGTCAGCAGCACAGTTTGAGATTTTTCGTGCAAAGTTTAATGTACAGACATTTCTTGGGGGGGAAGAAAAAAATAAGAGTGAATGTTAAGTATAGCTGAGGTTCGGGTAGTTAAGTTCTTGATAGTTAGTTAGCTGTTGTG